CTGACCAGCTCACAGCCGGGGTAGGTTTTGTTCAGCTCCTAACTGCATTCCCAGCGGCAGGTTTCTGCCGTCACCACCAGCTCTGCCACAGGGCCCCTTCCGGGACTGTCGGTGTCTTCAGTGTTACAGCCCTCAATCTGTGTTACAGCTTTTAGGAGTTTCCTTGCCTCCTCTCTGTCTGCTTCTTCTCTCTTCTTTCTTTCTTCTGCTTCTGTCTGCCCACCTCTGTGGGGTTGGCTGCAAATATAAAGAAACTCCTGGTCAATTTCAAGGCATGACCCCCCCACTAGGGCCATGAACTCACCAATCCCCTCACGGTAGGCCACAGGCACTTCATTTGCATAGTTAGGCTATAATCACTTCATTTGCATACATGTATTGAACAATCTCTGCAAGGTGTGTAAAATAGAACAATCACAGGGCAGGCTTTGGTCCAGGACCAGACAAAAAGGATCAAACCTCAAGCTGTTTACAGGAAATGCAACAAACCCTTCGGGGTAGAAAACTAGGGCAAAGATAACCTCAGGGCTCAGGGGGAGAATCTCTCAAGCTGTTTTTCTAAAGAACCAAGGCTAAAGCCCGCCTAAAGGAACTCATTTCACCAGAGCTGCCGTGAGTTGTGATGGACTTGATGGCTTGGTTTGGTTTTTAGTTCTGGGGCTTTTATGAAAACCAGAGCCCCAGGCTGGGCGTCGGGGACGGGCGTGTGTGTTTGTGAACCCCTGGATTAGAGCCCTGGGGTTAAACCAGGCTGTAGAGGCAAGGGTGCCATCACTTTCTAACCACACCATCTGAGGCTGGTTACTCGTTGTGAGCATGGAGGAATGTATGTAAATTTCCAGCACATGCCTAAACCCACTGCAGTAGAGTCGATTCTGACACATAGTGACCCTACAGGACAGAGTAGAACTGCCCCATAGGGTTTCTGAGGAGTAGCTGGTGGATTCGAACTGCCGACTTTTTGGTGAGCAGCAGATGTCTTAACCACTTCGCCACCAGGGCTCCTACTAAATGCTGATAGCCATTAATGCTCTGTAAGCTACATTATTGGGCACTACTCTGAGCTACACATTATCACAGCAACCATGCCTGCTGTGGGGCGGGTATTTTAGTCACCGCTTTACGGAGGAGGGAACGTAGGTTCAGAGAAGTTAAGTAAGTAACCCAAGGTCACACAGCAAGTTAATGTCAGCCAGGACTGGTACTCGGGTCTGTCTGGCCCCACAGCTAAAACAACTAAAATCCAGTAACCCGTTGCCACAGAGTCTGTTCCAACTCATGGAACAGACTCAGTGGAACTGCTCCATAGGGTTTTCAGTGACTGATTTTTTAGAAGTGGATCGCCAGGACTTTCATCAGAAGTGACTCTGTGTGGACTCAAACCTCCAACTTTTCAGTTAGCAGCCTAGCCCCTTAATTGTTTGCACCACCTAGGGACAGACCTCATACCCATTTGATGCTTCGCCCGAGAAGGAGGCACTCAGTAATTACCCCACTGAGTGTTATGACAAGCCCCCTCAACCGTCCCCCGCATACACACGTGTGAGGACCGCCCGTATCAGAGCAGAGCTGACCAGGCAGAGGAAGGAGGTACAGCCCAGTGAACGGCCCCTTTGCTGGGAGGTTTCCCGCTTGCTGCGGGAAGGCCCTGCAGCCCTTGCTCTCTGTCACTGTTAACCTGCGAATTTCTGGATGGAGCTGCCAGCTGCCTTCCCCGCCTCACTTCCAGCTCTTTCCTTTGAACTTTTCTCTGTCCTGGCTCCTGCTCCCAGCCCCCTGCCAAAGCCAGTGACTTCCTGATTGTTGAGATGGTGGTCTCCACTGCGGACCCCTGCCTTGTGCGGCACTGCCAGTAACTCTCATTTTCCTGAGTTCTTTTCCTTGTTTGCTGTCTGCCGCGCCACACGCCCGAGACGTAACGCCTGAGAAAGTGGCTCAACCTGTCGCAGCCTTGTCTCCTGCTACCTGTCCTCCTCACCTCTTCTGTTGCAAAGAGACCCAATAGTTCACGGTTCCCCTGCCCCTTCCTCTTTGAGGTCATACCTGCCTCTCTCGTGCCTGGGAGGCCTTTGCCTTGTCCGACTCTCCTGGCAGACTCCCAGCCAGCCCTCTAAATCCAGCCTTGGTATCTCTTTTATTCCATTGATAAAGCTTTTCTGACATTTCCATCCTGGCTTCCAGCTGCTTCTGCCCTCCGAGGTGCTTCAGGCATTGCTGGACGCGGCAGACTCCCCCACGGTGTTACGCACGACCATCTTGCACATTGAGCTGCGAGCTTCTTTAAGGCAAAGAGCATTTATTAGTCCCCCTGGCACCCAGTAGGTTCACAAGGTCTCTAGCGGTAATAGCATCATGACCAATGGGCTTATCATACACCAAGTACCATCTAACCAGGTTAAGTTAATATTCAATCACTGCCAGTTGCCATAGAGTCTATTTTGACTCATGGCACCCCACGTGTGTCAGAGTAGATCTGCGCGCCATAGGCTTTTCAATGGCTGATGTTTCAGAAGTAGATCACCAGGACTTTCTTCTGAGGCATCTCTGGGTAGACTCGAAGCACCAACCTTTTGCTTAGCAACCGAGCATGTTAACCGTTTGCACCACCCAGGAACTTCATTTAATACTCACGACAGCTATTAACATCTTCTATATTTTACAAATGAGGAAAGGGAGACTCTGAAACGTCAGTGACTTGCCCAAGGTCACAGAGCCACTATGTGGAAGAGGTGGAATTTGAACCCAGGCATTCGAGCTCTTTGAGACTTGTTGTAACCACCCGACTTTACAGCCTCCCTGGTAGGGAGTGCCAGCGAGAGGGAAATATGCCGGAGGTTTCTGCCCTCAAGGGGCTCATTTATCGTTGGGGCCAGACCCTGCACGTGCGTTCACTCACACACACACACAGAAACACACGCACTCACATGCACTCACACACACAGATGCACTCA